AAGCTAAGGGACAGTATATGCAGGCTCTGAGATCAAGCCCAGCATTGGCACAAAGTAAGTAAAATACCTTCTCAAACTTTTCTCCAATTAACAAAAGACCAGAAGCAGAAATGTGTAAGTGGTAGAATATCAGCTATGAGCAAAAAAGCTGAGCAGGAACATGAGGTCCTGAGTTCAAGCCCTAATAACAAACACAAAACAGCTGGCCACTGGTGGCTCATAACTGTAATCATAGCTACTCAGGAGGCTGAGATCTGAGGATCACAGTTAAAGGCCAGACATGACAGAAGAGTCCCTGTGAGACTCTTATCTCAAATAAACTACCCAGAAAAGTCTGGAAGTGGCACTGTGGCTCAAGTGGTAGAGTGATAGGTTTGAGCACAAAGAGGCTCAGGGACAGTACCCAGGCCCTGGGAAAGAAAGAAAAAAGACAGAAAGTAAAGGAAGGAAAAGAAAAGGAAGGGAAGAAAAGAAGGAAGGAAGGGAGGGAGAGAGGGAGAGAGGGAGGCAGGCAGGCAGGCAGGCAGGCAGGCAGGCAGGCAGGCAGGCAGGCAGGCAGGCAGGCAGGCAGGCAGGCAGGCCGGCAGGCAGGCAGGGAGGCATTTTTTCTTTTGTTGTATTGGCCAGATTCTCAGAATCCCTCAGCCTCCTGATGAGGAATATAAGCATGTACCATCAGGATCAGCTTATTCAAATTTGTCTTCTAAAAACTTTTTGGCCAAGAAATAGAGGTTAAGGAGCTATCTATACTATGGCTCCTACAAAGCAGATTAACCCTAACAAGACTAGTGATAAAAGAGAAACAAACCAATAATAAACCACAAAGGGAAACCACTGGCCACAAAAGAACATACCCTCTACTGAAGAGCTGAAAAGATTTCATTTCAAGCCTGTGGCACTCAGTGAAATTAGGTATTTTCCTAGAGACACTGATGGGCTAAGAATATAGCTAGATAAAGAGCTAAGGTTTGTGTTTAACCCCAATACTGCTCCCCCCCCCAAAAAAAATCCCAGGGGCTGGAAAGGTGGCTCAGTGGTAGAGTACTTGCCTTGCATGCATGAGGCCCTGGGTTCGATTCCTCAGCACCACATAAGCAAAAAGACAAAAACCAGAAGCGCTATGGCTCAACTGGTAGAGCGCTAGCCTTGAGCTGAAGAGCTGAGGGACAGCACCCAGGCCCAGAGTTCAGGCCCCAGGACCAGACCCCCCTCCCCCCCCCAAAAAAAATCCACCTAACATCTGATTTGCAAATTCTCCTAGCACTAAATTCAAGAAATTGTTCAGGACTTCAAAAATACATGTTCTTTTGGGACACAATTGGTCTTTTATTTATTTTTATTTTATTGTTTGTCAGTCATGGGGACTGAACTCTGGGCCTGGGCACTGTCCCCCAGCAATTCAGCTCAAGGCTAGCACCCTACTACTTGAGCCACAGTGCCACTTACATCTTTTTCTGCTTATGTGATGCTGAGCAATCGAACCCAGGACCTCATGCATGGGAGGGAAGCACTCTACCACTGAGCCAACTTCCTAACCCTACAATTGGTCTTTTTAAACAAAACAGATGAGCTCCGCTTTGTTGTTCTTTTGGAAATATCAATCACCAAACAATATGCTTAAGAATTCCTTACACTGGGAAGGGATTCCGGAAACAAAGGAGGAGGCTACAATGCTTGATAAGAGATGTACTCATTATCTTGCCCATGTAATTGTAACCCCTCTATACAGTATTTTCACAATAAAAATAAATGAAAAAAAATTTTTTAAAAAGAATTCTTTACAAACTGGATATTAGAGGCTCACATCTATGGTTTAAACTGCTGACAGCTTTTAAAAGGCTGAGATCCTGAAGATGACAGTGCAAAGGGCAGAAACCACCACAAGATGAACAAAAAAGTCTAACAGGAGGGATGGCTCAAGAGCACCAACTGAGCAAGGAAGCCAAGCAAATTCAAGTTAAAACCTTCAAACCATAGTAATACCAGAGAAGAAGAAACCCCCAAAACAGAAAGTATTTAATTCTTGATTTTTTCTTCTTCCTATCATTCAGAGTTCTGAATATATTTTTTTTCCTTCAGTAGATCAAAAGGTAACTAAATTTATGATAGATACAGAAAAATGGGACAGAAAACAGGTACTAGAGGCTGGGAGCTGCTGGTGGCTCACACCTGTAATCCTAGCTACTCAGGAGACTGAGATCTGAGGATAGAGGTCCAAAGCCAGCCTGGCCAGGACTTCCTTGAGTCTCATATCTCTAATTACCCACCAGAAACCTGGAAGTGGTGATGTGGCTCAAAGCGGTAGAGCACTAGCTTTGAGCAAAAGACCTCAGGGACAGTGCCCAGGCCCTGAGTTCAAGTCCCAGGACTGACCCCCACTCCCACCCCCCCAAAAAAAGAAAAAGAAAATTCAAACCCAGGCATGGTAACATGACAGCTGTAATTCCAGAGAAAAAGCTGATGTAGGAGGATCCTGAGCTTTCTATACCAGATTAGGTTACAAAAAAAGAGCCTGAGTGCTGGTGGCTCATACCTGTAATCTTAGCTGCTCAAGAAGCTGCCGCTTATCTCCAGTGAACTGCTAAAAAGGTGAAACTGACTCAAGTGGCAGAGCACCAGATTTGAATCACAAAGGGAAGAAACAGTGTCTAATTCCTGAGCTTAAGTTCCAATACAAGGAGCTGAGGGAGACTTAGAGGCTTAGAAAATGTATATATTTAACCAAATGTAATCTTATGTGAAAAGTAGCAGAGATTCATATATTTAAAAACAAATGACCTATTGGTCATAGACCTATTGATCTATCTGAGTGGTAATCATGTGCTTTTTACCATAACCAAGTCCCTTGTTTCAATCACCTACATGAAAACTAAATACTTTGGTGTAGTGTTTCATGGCTGAAGTTTAAATCTAGGAAATAAAAAAATAGCATTAGGTGGGTGCCGGTGGCTCATGCCTACAATCCTAGCTACTCAGGAGGCTGAGATCTGAGGATTGAGGTTCAAAGCCAGCCCAGGCAGGAAAGTCTGTGAGACTCTTATCTCCAATAAACCACTAGAAAACTGGAAGTGGCGTTGTGACTCAAGCTGTAGCGCTCGCCTTGAGCTGAAGAGCGCAGGGACAAAGCCCAAGCCCTGAGTTCAAGCCCTATGACTGCAAAAAAAAAAAAAAGCATTAAAGACAGGAGCTAGAGGCTCAAGCCTATAATCCTAGCTGCTCAGGAGGCTGAGATCTGAGGATCATGGTTTGAAGCCAGCCTGGGCAGGAAAGTCTGTGAGACTCTTAAACTCCAATAAACTATCAGAAAACGGGAAGTGGCTCTGTGGCTTAAGTGGTAGAGCACTCACCTTGAGCTGAATAGCTGAGGAATAGTGCCCAGGCCCAGAGCTCAAGCCCCACTACTGACAAAAAAGAAAACAAAAACAAAAAACAGGAATGAGGGGATGGCTTAGTGGTAGAATGCTTGCCTAGCTTGCATGCAATCCTGAATTGATTCCTTAGTACCACATCAACAGAAAAAGCCAGAAGTGGCAGTGTGTCAAGTGGTAGAGTGCTAGCCTTTGAGCAAGAAAAAGAAGCTCAGAGACAGTGTTCAGGCTTTAAGTTCAAGTCCCAGGACTGGCCAAAAAAAAAAGAAACAGGAATGACTATCTTCCAAAATTTAAAGAGCCAGATGATGGTGGCTCATGCCTATAATCCTAACAATTTAGGAGGCTAAGATTTGAGGATCATGGTTCAAAGTGAGACCAGGCAGGAAAGTTCATGAGACTCTTATCCCCAAAAAAGTACTCCCAAAAGAGGAAAAGAGAAAAAGTCGTTATTAGAGCTGTGGGAAAGCACAAGACATGAGCAAAGAAGTTCAGGGACAGTGCCCAGAACCCTACATTCAAGTCACAGAACTGGCACCAAATAAATAAATAAATAGGAATGAAGTACCAAAATGTGAACCCCTACTAGTTCCTAATTTCTCAAGCCAGAAACGTGTAAAATATTTTCATCTTGTTATAGTAGCACATACCTGAATACCCATTTGTGTATGAGCAAAGACAGAAGATCAATAATTCAAAACTAGCCCGAGCTACATAGTGAGAACGTCATCTCAAAAACCAGAATGAAAGCTTGGCACTAGTGACTCACACTGGGAATCCTAGCTACGCAGGAGATTGAGATGTGGGATTGCAAAGCCAGCCTGCCAGTAAACTTCATGATACTCTTATTCCAAATTTTCAACCAGAAAAGCAGAAGTTGAGCTGTGGTTCAAAGTGGTAGAGCACTAGCCTTGAGCAGTAAAGCTCAGGGACAGCGCCCAGACCCTGAGAATTCAAGCCCCATAAGCTAAAAACAACAACAAATAAAGATAGAAGTGGAGCTGGGGGGCTGAAGCACTAGCCTTAAGTGAAAAGAGCTCAGGGACACTGTCCAAACCCAAAGTTCTAAGCCCCAGGACCAGCATCAATCAATCAATCAATCAAGTGAACAAACTAAGAAAACAGACAACAGTCATTTCTTTGGAGGGGCACTATTTTTTCCTATACTAACATTTAAATCAGTGGCTTACACTATACTGTATATTAATGACATGTTTAAATATTTTGTACCATTAACCTCTAGCTGGCCAATACTACAAAGCAAAACTGTCTTGAAAATTCCAAAACAGTAAACAGTGGTCCAGAAAGCAGATGACAGTCAGCTCCAGAAGATCAATTAATAATTGAAGAAAGCTCATCTTAATATGAAAATGCCATGTTCCCCACTAGAAAGTTTAGACTTCTATGTCTACTTTTCAGTGAAAATGACATAAGTAATTTGAAACTGCAAAGAATTCCAATAAACTTTATTTTTCCTAATGTAGCAGACAAAAATATATATATACAAGTTTAGCATAACTTCATTAAAACAAATAAAATAGCATAAAGTCAACACATTCTCCTTTCTACATTCAACTGTAACAAGAATGTCAGGAATATAAGTTTGACTGTTATTCTTGAATATTCTCCTACCTTCACACTGGTTCCTTGGAAGAATCTTCCACCTTGTTTTTATCACATTTTCCAAAATTTGTAGTCCATAATACTGAAAATTGGAGAATAGAAGCATGTGAATATATTGTCACAGGACTGTCAATTCTCAGGATTCACAAATGGACAGACATTCACACAGTTATATCTAAAGTTTCAAAAAAATTATGCTATCAACTTTAATTACATATATAAACAAGAATCTATTCACCCATATACTCAGATTTCATGCATTTTCCTCATTTTACTGTTTACTATCCTATGTAACGTCCTGCTGTTTATACATGCTCACACCAGGAGGAAGAACCAAATAAAAAGCTCTTTAGCAGCCAAATAGGCTTATCTGCAGAAGGAAAAATAGCAGCCAGATATGAATTCACAGCATAAATGACTGCTTATAGGCTCACATACTTTAACAGGAACAGACTCCCAAGAATTTAGCAGCTTGGATGCTATTAAGCTTCCTACCATCCTCTAAGAGCTGTAAGCTTTGGCCAAATATTAAAATACTGCCACAGACAGTTTCTACATTAAGTGTTTATAAGCATCACTGGTGTGTTACTTAAGGAGCAGCAAGACAACCCATGGATTCATTTTAAATTTAACCCACCCTTATATAGATGCTATTTCTACTAATTTAAAGATAAACTTTTGTGCACAGTCAAAATTATATACAAATGTATGTTGCAATCTGTGTCTACTTTTCAGGTATTCCTTCCTAAATAGAAAAGTTTAACTAAACGTAAAAAAAGTAAAAAAGCAAAGATACCACTTTCAAGCCATTTTGTCCCTCCTGCTGATTATGCACTCTAAATAGTCAACCATGTTTATCAGTATGAGTTACTACCTAAAATTATAACTATGACCAATTAGTGTGGATAGGCAGGAGGAAAAAAAGGGACAAAAATTTCATGGTATATTTCATGGGAAGAACTAGGGAAGATTCAATTATAATACCTGAAAGGTAAACCCATTTGTATATAAATAACCACAGATTGCAAGTTTTGGCTGAGAATAAGAGTTCATCTTTAAAATGGTTAGTCATTATACACAATAAAATAGGAGCATTAGTATTTCAACCAAAGGGATCATGTGAATGCTCTTTTTCCAAAGCACAATATAGACTGTCCCAAACTACATTGTGCTCAGTCAATATTTTGCTGTTTTCATTTTTAATATTTCATACTTTACGGGAATTTTTTTGCCATCAACTCAAATCCTACATTTGCAGAACATTCCTTAAAGACTTCTAACAGAACAAGGCCAGAGCAAAATCCTGAAATTATAAATTTAATGCCATCAAAATGTTTCATAATCAGCAGTAAACAGTGAAACTTTCATCCTCCTCATTCTTAAGAACAGAACTCTCCATAGACCAAGGTCTCAGAAAAATGTAAACAAGCAAAAACAGGCCAAAAAGTTCCTGATTAACTAAAATTCTAAATTAGGTTTTAAAAACTTAACTACCCTAAACTTTTCCTGCAATTTTCATACACAAAATCAGACTGTCAAGATATTTTGCAAATCAAAGTAATGCGCTGCTTACCACACAGAATGTGTCCTCTTGCTAAGAATTAATCAATTTAAAAGAACTATAAAACACAAGAAACAAAACTCTCCCTCTATAACTCATAGGTATGACCAATTTTTCCTTTATATTTCCTAATTGAAAGTTTCCCCTTCCCTTAACTATATTCACTTATTTACTTCTTCCTTACTGGTTTAGTCAATACTTGGTTAAGCCTCTAGTCTTTTCTCCAATAGTAAAAAGGTAGCATAAACTTGCTGAACACACAATTTATATTTCATCCTTCTGCCAAGGACATTGAGGAAGAACACTTAACAAAATCTTTCTGGCCAAAGGAATATGTATCACCATTAATAGCTTATGACCCAACCTATCTTTGACACAAATAATCTGAACTTGAAACAGTTTTTATTCTTTTTTGGGGGGAGGGGCGGAAAACTCAAAAATCTGAAGGCCAATGATAAAATGCCTACATTAGAAATATCCACAAATCCATACATCCTATGAAACGAAACTGCTTTACATCTCAGAAACTGAGTAATCCACTTCTGAGTTATGAGGATGAGGGACAGATAACAGCAAAGACTGCATGAAAAAAAAAACAAATGCATGAAATGATCCCTATGGCAGAAATTTCTACTGAGCCCTTAGAAATATTTATTTTATGCATTGAATTCCCCTTTCCCCACCCACCTCCCATGAAACAAAAACAATTGATGAACAGAATTCAGTTAAAGGGAATCAAAAGGGTAGACCTTGTGGAGGCCTGCCGTCAAAGCCTAGCTGTGTCAGTTGCACAGGAAGACACCCCTTTTCTTCCTATTACAAGCAATCAACATAATGGAACATTATGATTAATATCAGGTAGTGTTAACATCTTTAAAGAAAAAAAAATGACTGCATAAAAGCCAAATGTCATAGTGCATAAATTTAGCACCAAATCATTTGTAATTTATGTAAATTGAAGAATTCTTTACCTGTTGCTTTCTTTCTGTTCCTCTAATCATCTCATTTTTCACAAGACAAATTTGAGTTTTTAAAAATACTGTTGATAAATCAACTTAAACATTAGTAATGTCTGTCAGTATAAAAAGCAAAATTTACCAGGCAAGCAAACAGGCAAACACTGCTATGTTACTCAAGGTTAGCACTTTGAGGAAGTTCTGGACTGTATTTTTGCCCTAAAATTTACAAGATGTCAAAACTAATTAATATTTTAAAATTAACAGTCTGATTTCAGAAACAGATGTGAACATGGCTACTTTCTGTTTTAACACAATGTATATTAAATGGAAACCTTTTGTGTATTAAACAGAATGCCATGGTATTTTATTACTTAAAGGCAGTTTAAAGAGAAGTGTGAATTATCAAGCCTAAAACAGTCAAAACACATTTTGATCAACCCTTCTGTTCAAACTTAAGAAAAAAGGACCCGAATTATGACATTTAAAATTGCAAATAAAAACTGAGTGCTATCTCATTCAAATCCTTGGTACCAGGGAGTAGGATTTTAAACTGTCCATATGACTTGGGATTGGAGGGATCTAGCCTGTATTATATTGATTACTTGCCCAAAATAATTCTTGTTTTCATGTTTCATCTCTGAATATCATTCAGAATTTATGCTACTTAGACCTGGATACATGTTCTAAAAAGAACAAAGCAAACAATCCCCCCCACCCAAAAAAAATGCCACCTTGCATACTAGTCCCAATTACAAAACTTCATAACTCAGGACTATGTGCAAGAATTATCTATGTTTAAGACTAAATTTTGAAATAAGTTAACAGTATAAAATGATTTTATAACAGATGCTAATACTAAAAGTGAGATACCTTCCTCAAAGTTTAAGACTGGAAGAAAAGAAATAACAGATTTTAAAACCACCACTTGCTTACTTTTGTGTTCATATTCTGTGAGAATTCCAAAATTGTGTCAACTCTTGTCCACGCATCTGGATGTTCCTTTAAATGTGTCAGTACTTCTTGAGCCATTCTTTGCTAAAATATACAAAAAGAATTTTCAATTAACATATTATTTTAAATTCACTGAAATGTAATGCCCTTAAAGCACAAATCCTGTAACAAAGATTCTACCAACTTTCAAAAACATTTGAGAAGTGACAAGAAATTACCTAATAAAAATGTACAAAGCAGCTGGCACCAGTGGCTCACACCTTTATTTCTAGCTACTCAAGAGGCTGAGATCTAAGGATTGAGGATTACAGCAAAGGCAGTAAAGTCCATGAGACTATTATCTCCCTCCAAATAGCCACCAAAAGGACAGACATGAAGCTGTGGCTCAAGTGGTAGAGAGCTTGCCTTGAGCTGAAGAGTGCAGGGACAGCACCCAAGCCCAGAGTTCAAGCCCCACAACAAACAACAACAACAACAAAAAAAAAGTGAGTGGTATGAAGTGAGTCCAGATATAATGTCCAGGCCCCAGGATAGGCACAAAAAGTACGAAGTATCATTACGTTAATTTAAAATGAAGCTATAATTAAAGCCTCACTTTAAATCAAGGTTATATGTTTGTGGTGCACACCTTTAATTCCAGATACTCTGAAAATACAGCTATAGAGATCTCAAGTTTAAGGCTGGGCCATACAAAGTAATAATCTATCTCAAAAATGAAATACATAAAGGTCTGATGCTTCATGCCTGTGTTCTTGCACCAGGATATATCAAGTTCAAGGCAAATCAAGTTATTATATAGCAGTCTTCAAAAGTGAGTGGTACAGGCTGGGTGCTGGCAGCTCACTCCTAGCTACTCAGAAGGCTGAGATCTGAGGATGGCTGTTCAAAGCAAGCCCAAGCAGGAAAGTCTGTGAGACTCTTCTCTCCAATTAACCACCACAAAACCAGACATGGTGCTATGCCTCAAGTGGTAGAGCACTAGCCTTGAGCTGAAGGGCTGAGGGACAGCACTCAGGCCCAGAGTTCAAGCCCCACGACCAACAACATCAACAAAAAAAAGTGAGCGGTATGAAGTCAAGCCCAGATATTAAAAAACCAAACAACTGAGAGGGTACCAGTGATTGAAGCCTGTAATCCTAGCTACTTAGGAGGCTGAGATCTCAGGATCTGAGGGGATCATGCTTTGAAGCCAGCCCAGGCAGAAAAGTCCCTTGAGACTTTTATATCTAATTAACCAATCAAAAAAGCTGGAAGTGACTCAAGTGACTCAAGTGGTAGAACACTAACCTTAAGCACAGACTCAGGGACAGCTCCCAGGTTCTAAGTTCAAGCCCCATAACGGATAAAAAAAAAATCTAAATACTAATAAAGATTTATGCTGAAGTAAACACATCCTCATCAAGTCTCTTGTGGTTTTAAAAAAGACCTTATTATCACACTATTTCCACTTTGAAATCCCAAGTATTATTTCACATACAAAAATTTCTGTATCAGACCTACAAGCCAGGGAGAAATGGTGGTTTACACCTGTAATCCAGCTTGCTCAGGAGGCTGAGCTCTGAGGATTGTAGTTTGAAGCCTGAACAGGTAGGAAAGTCTGTGAGACTTCCTACCCAAAAGCTGCAAGTAGAGCTATGGCCCAAGTGGTGGAACCCTAGCCTTGGGCAAGAAAAAACAAACAAACTCAAGGACAGGCACATATTCTGAGTTCCAGCTCCTGGACAAGTACTAAATATGCAATTAATGAAGACCTACAAATATTACACCCATGCTCTCATCACCTCCAATTAAGTATTAATATTTTGTTGTACTTGTCAAGGGTGTGTTATGATTTAAACCCAGGGTTTAGAACACGCTATAAAGCACACTCTACCATAAAGTTACACATCCAACTCCTATCAGTTTTCATTCTCATTATTTTTGTTTACTTTGCAATGGTACTAAGACTTGAACTCAGGGTCTGGGAGCTATCCCTTTAGCCTTTTACTCACAGCACTCTATCATTTAAGCCACAGCTCTACTATCCACTGGATTTTTGGCTAGTTAATTGAGATAAGTTTCATACTTTCCTGACTCAGCAAAGGATTACAGGTGTGAGCTGTCAGCGCCTGGCTGACTTTCATTTTATTTCTTTTGTCGGTCATGGGGCTTGAACTCGATGCCTGGGCACTGTCCCTAGCTCTTTTGCTCAAGGCTAGACACTACTACTTTGAGCCACAATCCCCAGTTTTCTGGTGGTTAATTGCAGATTAGAGTCTCACACTTTCCTGCCCAGGCTGACTTCTGAACCCTGATCCTCAGATCTCAGCCTCCTGAGTACCTAGGATTACCCAGCCTGAGCCATCAGCATCCTGCTGATTTTTATTTTTGAGACAGATTCTTACTATCTAGTTCCATCTAGCCTCAAACTCACTATGTGGCACTGAATGGCTACCAAGTGCTCTAATTATAAATACATAGCACCACACTTTTTTTTCTCCAAAAACATAGAAAAACTAAAACATTCATGAAATTTATTGTACTTTTCCCTAATGACATCTCATCTCTTAGGTTATCACTTTCACTGAACACAGTAGCTCATAGTTGTAATCCTACTCAGGAAGATAGAATTGGGAGAATCATGGCTCATTGAGGGGAAAAAGTTCTTAAAATCCCATCTCAATCAATAAAAGGCTGGGAGCAATGGCCTGCCATCTCAGCTACTTCAAAAACATAAATAGGGCAGGGAAGTTGGCTCAGTGGTAGAGTGCTTGCCTTGCATGCATGAGGCCCTGGGTTCAATTCCTCAGCAGCACATAAGCAGAAAAAGCCAGAAGTGGTGCAGTAGTTCAAGTGGTATAGTGCTAGTCTTGAGCTGAA